AGGCATTTTTATATAAAACGACCACGGATAGCTTAAAAAACCTTCCGCGAAAGGTGGCGATGGTGCGCGCGAAAGGAACTTTTGGATTTCACGAAAGGAGCATCGTAAGCTATAATTCCTTTAATTACTCAAATATGCTTCTGCGAAAGCTCGCGATGGGGCGCGCGAAAGATGCGCGAAAAGGAACTTTGGATTTCCACGAAGAGGTTATCTTGTTATGAAATAATATTGAGCAACGCCCATATAGATATTATGACGACGAGTCTCTTGGCTGGGGGTCAGCTTCTCCCCAGCAAGGGGATCTGGAAATTCACGCTACGCTAAATAAATCTGATCTAAATAAATTTATGTTCATTTTCGTAAGATTGGAATTATGCGCGACAAATTAAATTCTGATCTTGCATATGAAAAATATCGGCATTACATATTTGACTAATGCTAGATTTATTATGACTTCGGGATTTGAATGGTTGGGAGAAGGATCTAGGGATAAATCTGAAATCTTAAAGATTTCTAAGTTCTGATTCTAATTTAGCCGGTTTTATAATAAAAAATCGATTTGAGTATATAGATTATAAGATATATAAATAAATTGAATTCAATAAGGATATTTAATTTATAACATTTATCTACTCGTTTTACAATATTTTTAAAAATGCTTTTTAGTGATTTTAAAATCTTGAAAATTTAAGAATTTTTCGGAAAAATTGAAGGCTCTAAAATTTCTACGAGATTTTTGGAGAAGGTAGTACGACTAAAAATCTCGGAAATTTTTGGGGGCGCATTTTTGCATTCTGGAATGAATTTTTATTTAGTCGTTCGGTGGAATATATAGATTTTGGATGGAGATTTAAGATTCTTGAATATTTATAGAGACCCGCTCTATCTATTTATAGAGATTCAAATATTTCTCTGAGCTGCCGTATAGATAGTCTAAGATGGCAAGAACGGCTTATTAGATCCGGAAGTTTGTGCGATCGAAGGGGCGCATAATTAAAGATATTTATAAGATTTCGAATTATGATATCTCTCGTTTTGGTTTCGTTCGCAACATTTTCAAATAATATATAGAGAAATATTCAATAGATCTATGAAGAAAATTTAGTTCTTCATAATTAGAAGAGGGATCTTCCGAGGGAAAAAGGAAGAAATCTCGCTATTCAAGATTTCCAATCTTCCCATTCATTTGAGAAAAAGAATCATCAAAAGATACGATATCCGCATTCCAGTCGTGAAACCCCGCCGCCGCCCGCCACGAATTGGACGGGAAAGAAGATGCCGAAAGAAGGAAAAACAATAACGCATTAGCAGATCTTCAAACGAAATAAAGAAGCAGGGAGAAAATAGGATATTCTATTTCCAATCATCTATTCGCTTCAGGGCCCGTCCCCTCAGATTCAGAATCATCATATCTTGCGCATAGGATCCTATCAGCAATTTCAATGATCATCCTCCCTCAGAATATATTTGTAGGAATTGAATAGAACGATCATGGATTTTGGACGGGCTCTGGTTTTGGTCTCTAGCCCGCTGCAAGCAATATATCTATATTTCTGAATTATGAAGGAAATATATTATTTCAATATCTGATAGATAGATCTAATCTTTCGATGCAAATTATCATCAATAACTCGGCAGCGAAAATAGAAGACGATCTCCCTCCGATTCCAGGTCTCCAGAATGGTCAAAAATCAAGGATTCAAATCCTATATCCTGGGAATGACATCTTTGGACCATCTCACGATCTCTAGATTTACATTCCGCCTGAGATTTAGTAGCTGATAAACTACCCTGCCCCAAGTTAGACGACCGGAAAGGCGAGATAATTGAGATATCAAGCGTAATCCTCGGCATCAGATCCCAAATAGATTATCTGCAGAGAGCTATAGGGATCGTTAAATCATCTGCAGGGCACTGATCTGGCGAATCCGGCAAGAGATGATTGGATTCCAATCTGCAATGAAGGTTTCCCTCCTGCAGAATTCTATAGATTTCATTACGAATCATATTATGAAAGATTGATTTTCTCCTAAATATATGATACCCAAATATATGATATCCAAAGGAATCTTGAGATTGGGGAGATCGTAGAGATGCCGTATCGCCTTCGAAAATTTATCTGCCAAGCCGCATAAAAAGAATATCGTAGAATGCAGCGTTAGATAACCAAATATCAAAAGCGTGATTCGGAGCAGCCCGAACCCATCCATCCGCCCAAGGAGCGGCAAAAGTTTGAAAGACCCTTTTTTGGAGATCAGAAAGAAGGTCACTAGTAGCCCTACGAAAGGAGAGCCTCATAATTTCCATCAAATTCTTTTATTTAGATCTGAAGTCCGGATTCTCTAGGCGGCATCTCGATGGCACGTGCAGATTCGGGATAGATCTATAAAAATTTTTCCGAATCTATATATATCATTCGCGGTCTTATTTTCTCAAATATATATTTTTTAATATTAGAGATAACGAATCAATTCTGATTTTTTATATTTCTAAAATTCAAATTAAAATTTGAAAGAATGAATAGATAGATAAAGAGATTTAGATATCGTATATTCCAAAAAAATCAGAAATTCGATAGAAGATAAATATTAGAATCGAAAATTTCTATAAATCTATAGGCAAATTTATAGAATGATATATCGTTAATTTATTAGATTATGAGAAATATAGAGAGATTCATCGATTAATCTCTTGATTATCATAGAATATCTATTTATTAGAAAGCGATCTGGAATAGAAATCTAAAATCATAGTCAATATACTTTGAGCTATCTATATAATTTGAATATATCGCCTCCGTAATATGATCGCGAAAAATTGATGATTCTTTTTAATCGAGACCGTCCCAGATTCTGCCCTATAATTGAAATCGATGAAAGTATTAATCTCGGAGGCAATCTTGAAATTAATATTCTATTTCATATGAATATTCTTATTCAAATCGAATGAAAATCTTAGCATATCTATGAGAAATCGTATTCAAAAATAATATTAAAATTTGAATTTCGGATAAAATTGAATAATTTATTGAAATTAGATTTCCTGATTATCACGATTTTATATATAATCTCATAATATAATCCGTAGATTGTCGTATAAGAGATAAAGACGTACGATATTGGGATCCAAGCCATTCAAAAAAAAACCGCCGCCGCCCGCCGAACGCCCAGGGACCCAGCATCCCATGGCAACAAGAAGAAAAAACGACGATAATATACGAGGAATAAATCAATGAAATCTCCATCCTAAGGATTCCCTGAATTAATGCGTCATCTATCGCCTCCAGCCTGCGCTGGGGCGCAGCGTGACGCTTAGCTATCAAGGGCAAAAAATGGGGGCATTCCGAGAAGAATTTTAATCGAAAAAGAATCCCAGGGAGAAAGAGTAATGATTTCTTTGATTGCCCGCTTATCTATATATGAGGCAATATATATTATAATATTGGAGGATAATCGAGATTCTTTCCTAAAATAGGAATCGAATATATCCAATTTGGCGGCCAATCGGACCATCGATTCTCTTGCGCAACGAATCCAGAATTCTCGGAATCCTCTTCATTCATATCCCCTGCATGATCAAAAATTTAGGGATTCAAATCCAATCCCTTATTCCTGATTTCGAATATGGTTGGTCTGATTGAATCTTTTGGTAGCAATATGATCTTCCATGATCAAATTTCCTCTCGTCATCCGAAATGGGAAAAGAATAATAAAATCAATAGCAATCCCAGGGAGAAAATATCATGATGATTGACGATATAGTGCCGAAGGAATCATAAGAAGATCAGCGGGTCTCCTATCGGATTCATCGGGAAGAAATCCCAAAGATTCGATTTTCAAACTAAGTCCCCCTCCCGATAAAAAGCGGAAAACCTCATCACGGATATAATTATAGAATCTCGTTCGTTTTCCCAATCATGATAGAGATTCATCAATGATGATCATATTGATCCGAAATCTGAGGATATTGCAAATACGCCTCATCTATATCAAAGAATGGCAAGCCAATTCGTATAGATAATGAATTCGAAAATATAATCTTGGAAAGAGAATTATCAAATATGGGGTTGGAGACGAAATAGATCTTTCTATCAATCCAATATTCCGTATAATATCGAAGGCGCAATTGATCCTGGGAAATCAAATTTCTCTGAAAATCTCGATGAGATATATCTTCGGCCTGGGATACGAGATCTTTCTGCCGAAATTTAGTCTGGGAATTCTGAAAATCAGCCTGTCAAATCGGGAATAAAATTTGTAATCGCTCAATTGCCACAATCTATCCTAAGGTCGAATGGCGCGGAA